ACTAACAAGGAACGTAAAGGACCTCTTCAAGGAAAACTACAAACCACTGCTCAACGAAATAAGAGAGGACACAAACAGATGGAGAAGCATTCTATGTTCATGGTTAGGAAGAATTAATTTCGTGAAAATGGCTATACTGCCCAAAGTAATTTACAGAATCAATGCTATCCCTATCAAACTACCATTGACTTTCTTCACAGAACTGGAAAAAACCACCTTGAACTTCATATGGAACCAAAAGAGGGCCCACATAGCCAAGTCAATTCTAAGCAAAAAGAATACAGTGGGAGGCATCACACTACCAGACTTCAAACTATACTACCAGGCTACAGTAATCAAAACAGCATGGTACTGGTACCAAAACAGAGATATAGACCAATGGAACAAAACAGAGGCATTGGAAGCAACACAACATATCTACAACCATACAATCTTTGATAAACCTGACAAAAACAAGCAATGGGGAAAGGATTCCCCATTTAATAAATGGTGTTGGGAAAACTGGCTAGCTATGTGTAGAAAGCAGAAACTGGACACCTTACACCAAAATTAACTCCAGATGGATTAAAGACTTAAACATAAGACCTGGCACCATAAAAACCCTAGAAGAAAATCTAGGCAAAACCATTCAGGACATAGAATAGGCAAGGACTTCATGACCAAAACACCAAAAGCATTGGCAACAAAAGCCAAAATAGACAAATGGGACCTAATCAAACTCCACAGCTTCTGCAAAGCAAAAGAAACAGTCACTAGAGTGAATTGGCAACCAAGAGAATGGGAAAAAATTTTTGCAGTTTACCCATCTGACAAAGGGCTGATATTTAGAATTTACAAAGAACTCAAACAGATTTACAGGAAAAAAACAAGCAAGCCCATTCAAAAATGGGCAAAGGATATGAACAGACACTTTACAAAAGAAGACATACATGAGGCCAACAAACATATGAAAAAATGCTCATCATCACTGGTCATTAGAGAGATGCAAATCAAAACCACATTGAGATACCATCTCACACCAGTTAGGATGGCGATCATTAAAAAATCTGGAGACAACAGATGCTGGAGGGGATGTGGAGAAATAGGAGCACTTTTACACTGTTGGTGGGAGTGTAAATTAGTTCAACCATTGTGGAAGACAGTGTGGCGATTCCTCAAGGCCTTAGAAATAGAAATTCCATTTGACCCAGCAATCCCATTACTGGGTATATATCCAAAGGACTATAAATCATTCTGTAAGGACACATGCACACAAATGTTCATTGCAGCACTGTTTACAATAACAAAGACCTGGAACCAACCCAAATGCCCATCGATGATAGACTGGACTGGGAAAATGTGGCACATATACACCATGGAATACTTTGCAGCAATCAAAAATGATGAGTTCGCATCCTTTGTAGGGACATGGATGAATCTGGAGAACATCATTCTCAGCAAACTGACACAAGAACAGAAAATGAAATACCGCATATTCTCACTCATAGGCGGGTGAGGAAAAATGAGAACACCTGGACACGGGGAAGGGGGTACTACACACTGGTCTAAGGGGGGGAATAGGGGAGGGACAGCATGGGGAGAAATGCCAAATGTGGGTGAAGGGGAGGAAGGCAGCAAAACACACTGCCATGTGTGTACCTATGCAACTATCTTGCACGTTCTGCACATGTACCCTAAAACCTAAAATGCAATAAAAATAAATAATAAATAAAATAATAATAAGAAGGCAAATAATAGACTGGGAAAAATATTTTCAGTGAAATTGACAGACTGTGAGTTAATGCTAAATTAATGATAGTGTTTTTAATATGTAACCAGTGAACAAATAATATCAAGTAACTTAAAACTTTAATAAGTAAATGGAAAAAGGCCATAATTCACACACACACAAATACAGATATTTATGAGTGTGGTTTTTTTTACTTACTTTGCAATATTTATAAATTCACAGGAAAGTACAAAGAAATGCAGAGGGCGTTCCCATGCACGCTTCATCCAGCCTTTTCCTACGTTAACATCTCTACAAGCTTGTTTGTTAAAAAGGAAAAACTCTTCAGCCTAATGAAAACTAAACAATTAGATTAACACAAATATTTTCTAAATTATGGTATGCAGTGTCCTTCATATAGTAAAAACAGGTTTCCTTATTTGTTGGTGTGATTAGGTAATATATATTTTGCCTTAAATGTTATTAACAATTCTCCCAATAATTGATTTAAGAATTAACAAGATACAAGCAAAGACATATTTACAAACATACTAAACCATTTTCACAAATCTGTACATGTCCTTAATTTTATTATTACTCCGTGACACAAATATGTAATAAAATATTTATCAATGAAAGTCCATTGTCTCAACGAATTTTGAATGGTCAGGGAAAATGTTCACAATATAATGTTTAGTGAATGAAGCAGACAGTATGTAAGCTATGTATGTGTCAGTTTTTCAAAATAAAATTTATACACAGATATTTTAATATGAAAATAACAGCAAGTTAATAGGGACCACATCCGCTTCCACATTTATATCCACTTCAGTGGGACTTGAAGTGATATTTTATTTACACTTTTTAATATTTTCTATTTTGAATACATATTTTTCAGAATGCATTTTAATTTTGAAAAAACTATCTTGCCATGTTGTTTGGGGGAACTTTATAAAATTGCATATATAGAGATATGAAAATAGCATGATTACAATTATTTCAGAACAAAGCAAAATGACATGTATAAAAAAGATGAGAAGAAATGTGTTAAAATGCCTGTAGTGTGAACTTTTCCTCTTTTTTCTCTGTTCCTTTATATGTTTTTTTTCCTCTTTTTTCTCTATTGATTTGACTTAGGGGTGTCCAGTCTTTTGGCTTCTCTAGGCCACATTGGAAGAATTGTCATGGGCTACACATAAAATACACTAACACTCATGATAGCTGATGAGCCAGAAAAAAAAAAAAGTCACAACAAAATCTCATAATGTTTTAACAAAGTTTATGAATTTGTGTTGGGCCACATTCAAAGTCATCCTGGGCCATATGTGGCCCACGAGCTGTGGGTTGGACATACTTGATTTAACTTTCTGTAATGTAAATAATAGATAACCGTGCATTACAAATGTGAAAGGAAATTATTGAATTGAACCAATTGGGTTAATATTTTAACAAATGAGGTCCTGAGTTGTTTAAGACACCATGCTGGAGACTTGCGGCTGCAGCAGTGCTGGTGAGTTTTTAGTACATATAGGAAGACACCACCAGAAAGGGCTGGGGGCTAGGACTATTATTTTCAGTGTTGGTCAGCCGAGAAATTCTTTTGACCCATCAGTCTACGAGGAGGAAGATACAGAGAGAGCAAGAGTAACTAGTAATAAATTAATGAGTAGAACAAGTAAATAAATCATGAGCATCTTTTGTGACAGGAGCACACAGAAGACACAGGACAATTCTATTGTTTGAGTGAGGGTTACAGAAGCTATTCCTTACGATGTTTTTAAACTCAATAGCTTTATGCCTGGCTCTTTTAAGGACAGAGACCTTTTCCTTAAAGTTAACAGTTGTGATACTTAGAGATTCTACAGTGATCTCTGTTAGGGTAGAGAAGAGGCTTGCTTTACAGAAGGCTGCATGGTATTAAAATGGGTTGGATCGTTAATACCTTGGGCAGATGCCTTATATAGGGAAGGAATATATATTTCAACAATTTATAGATACATATTTACAAATGGAAGCAACCAATTTGTAAAGGGATCACTATATTTTATTAATTATGAAAATCTGCTGTGGCCTTCCTGTCATAGCATTCCCTCCCTATGAGACTGAGGGGTATATCCCGAATTCAGACAATTTCTGGGCAATATATAATCTGCCTTTTCCCCAAATTATTCTGGGTGATACAGAAGCAGCTCTTTTGTCAGCCCAATAAAAAATGTGAGTGGCTGTACTACTACCTGTCTACTCTGATTCAAAGAAATCAAATTAGCCTGTCCTGAATCTGTTCTTTTTCTTCAAGTGCCAACTCTGTGAAGCCCTCACCAAACCAGATCTCCTTAATCAGAATCAATCTCTCCACTTTGCCAGCACTTTGTCTCTTCCACAGTCCTGGTCTGATGCGTGTTGGATGCATTCTCTCACCACTCATTCAGGCCACAAAGCTTGCCTGGTTCATTGTGATATCCTGTCATGGCCAGCTCAGGACCATATATAAATCATTCACTCAGTTTGTTGAGTTCAGTCGAATTGCCACTTCCAAACAGAATAGAAAACACACTACCCAATACTTTAAGTCCTCCCCAGAGGGAAAGTCCAGACCCAGTGGAATGGAGAATGGAGGGTCATGCGAGGTTAGAAAATAATGAAGTTCTGTTGTATTATTTGTACAGAGGATTATACAGAGGACTGGGGACTTCCTTCCCTTGCACAGTCATTGTGGGTGGAAAGAGACAGACAAAGAGAACTTACATCATTCATTGATGAATAATAAATAATCTGCCACCAGGGTGCTTCTGGACCAAAATGCACTGTGTATTTGTCAAGGGACACCTCAAAAGCAGCATATTGTTCCCTCAGAGAGCATAGGGGCAGAAGAAAGCTATGTTGCTCTGAACCAGCCATGCAAGAATATGCATCAGTGCAATGCAGAGGAAATTTTAGTATAAAAAGAAACATCCAGCAGTCTTAGCAAATAAGAGGATATGATTCGGAGAGCACTGGAATTTTTCCCCTTTTAAACGAAACAAAGAGTGACCTAGACAGTTGTTTTTTGCCTTGTGTTTTGTTGCATGTGTGTGAGATGTGATAGTGCCTGGAAGTGAGGTGACCATTTGCAGGAAGAACTTTATGTTTTGCATGAGGCTTGCTTCTTAGTGTGGGAGCTGACCTCTGCTTCGAGTTGCTTATTTGCATGGGCCTGTGACCTCTTGTATTGTGCAACTAAATCATTTGTTTATTTTCTTTCTCTTGAGTATATTTCTAAATGTATGCATTTTTGGTTTTGTTCTTCACATAGGAAAACTCCAGAGATGAAAATCGAGCTCTGGTTCATCAGCTTTCTAATGAAAGTAGACTCTCCATCACTGACTCCCTTTCCGAGTTTTTTGATGCTCAGGAAGTTCTGTTATCTCCAAGCTCTTCAGAAAATGAGGTTTGAGCAATGTTTTCAGTTAGGTGCCTCAAAAATCTCTCTTGTTGCTTTACTGATTAATCCATTCAGTAAATAATCCATAATCAGAAACACCAAACTCAGTGACCCTTTTCAGTCATTATATTCTGAGAGTTCTCTCATAGCTCATACCCCAAAAGTACAAATGTACTCCAAAAGTATACTATATGTTAGAAGAAAAAGTAAAAGTAGAGAGCATTGGATGTTTGCTCATTTCTATAACTTGATTTGTTAAATTTGTTATACTTTTTTTTTTTTTTTGAAATGGAGTCTCACTCTGTTGCCCAGGCTGGAGTACAGTAGTGTGATCCCAGCTCACTGCAACCTCTGCCTCCCAGGTTCAAGTGATTCTCCAGCCTCAGCCTCCCAAGTAGCTGGGACTACAGGCACACGCCACTACATCCGGTTAATTTTTGTATTTTTAGTAGAGACCAGTGTTTCACCATGTTGGTCTCAAACTCCTGATCTCAGGTGATCCTCCTGCCTCGGCCACCCAAAGTGCTGGGATTACAGGTATGAGCTACCGTGCCCAGCCTCTTTTCTTTTCTTTTTTTTTGAGAAAAAGTCTCACTCTGTTGCCCAGGCTAGATTCCAGTGGTGTGATTTCTGCTAACTGCAACTTCTGCCTCCCAGGTTCAAGCAATTCTTGCACCTCAGCCTCCCAAGTATCTGGGGTTACAGGCGTGTAACCCCATGCCCATCCAATTTTTGTATTTTTAGTAGAGACGAGTTTCCCCATGTTGGCCAGGCTGGTCTCGAACTCCTAGCCTCAAGTGATCCATTCGCCTCAGTCTCTCAAAGTGGTATACATCTCTTCAAGTACAGGTTAATAATTTTGACTTCTATCTACTTAATAATGTAATGTATCTACTACAGAGAAGGAAATTAGCATCCTGTATATTTTTTAGTCATGGGATTTGACCTATATTGATTTATAATATATAATTATTTTTATCATAATATGATTATAATAATATTGGTTTATAGCATTATTTGTCTTAAATTGATGCATAAAAATTACACTTTCCTGAATAGCAGTTATCATAGTTAACATTGCTTTGTGTCAGTGTGTACTAATAATGTTATTTCTTAAATATAAACATAGTCATCTTGTTTGGTAATTCCCATAGAAGATACTTTTTACACAAATAGCTCAAAGACAATTGTAACTCCTTCTACTCAAATACTAATAAATTCTGAAAATGCAGCCTGAATTAATAAGAAGCTTTATAATAACAGTCTTGAGCTTGCTTCCTGTTTTCCTTGTGAGAACTAATTTAGAATGTATAAGAATTTTAAGAACAGATATTTGTTTTGAACACCTCCTTGGCAGATTGGTATATGGACCTTTATGAGAACAGTGCCCAATAGTATTTGTATATGGAGTAAGAGTTTTGTGAAAATCTGGCTCTTGTTTATTCTAACTCTAATGAATGTTATTTCTTCTTTCCCATAGATTTCTGATGATGACTCATACGTCAGTGACATAAGTGATAATCTTTCCTTAGATAATCTCAGTAACGATTTAGATAATGAGAGACAGACCTTGGGTAAGATTTACATTATTTAATCTCTGAAAAGTTTGGGTTTTCATAGAATACTAATAAGTTGTATAGTTGACTCTTGAACAATATGGGGTTCAGGACATTGACATCCTACACAGCTGAAAATCCATGTATAACTTTTGACTCCCCAAAGATTTAACTACTAACAGTCTATTAACATATATATTTTGTGTGTTGTGTGTATTTGAGACTGTATTCTTATAATAAAGTAAGCCAGAGGAAAGAAAATGTTATAAAAAATCATTAGGAACAGAAAAGATATTTACTATTCATTAAAGGGATCATCATTAAGTCATCGTCCTGGTCATTGTCATGTTGAGTAGGCTGAGGAGGAGGAAGAAGAAAAGGGGTTTGTCTAGCAGGGGCAGAAGAAAACCTGCATACAAGTGGACTCATATAGTTCAAACCTGTGTTGTTCAAGGGTGAACTGTGTAGAGGACCTGCTGCAAGCAAAGAGCTCTAGCAAGTACTATGTAAGACAGCTAAGAACTCTAGCAAGTACTATATAAGAAAACTAAGACACGGACACCACCCCCAAGGATTTTATAATCTAGGAGAGGAGACAGCACCCACATGTAAAAGATGTGTTAATTCAAATAAATGTCTGCTTGTGCAAATTTTTATTTTTATGAAGTGAATGTATGCCAATTATATGAATATAAAAAATTTAACAATATCTTTTTTGTTTGTTTTGTTTTGTTTTTTGAGATGGAGTCTTTCTCTGTTGCCCAGGCTAGAGTGCAGTGCCACAGTCTCAGCTCTCTGCAACCTCTGCCTCCCGGGTTAAAGCAGTTCTCCTGCCTCAGCCTCTGGAATAGCTGGGGAATACAGGCACATACCACCACATCCAACTAATTTTTGTATTTTTTGGTGGAGACTGGATTTCACTATGTTGCCCAGGCTGGTCTTGAACTCCTGACCTCAAGTGATCTAGCCACCTTGACCTCCCAAAGTGCTGAGATTACAGGCATGAGCCACTGTGCCTGGCCCAGATATCCCTTGTACGGTCTAATGTTCTCTCTGTATATATGTTAGAATATGGCTTTTTGTCCTTTGATATCTAGGGGTTTTTGTAACTTAGGAATGTGATAGGGCTGTATAATAAAAGATACGATCCAAGTGGTCATTTAGATTCAGATGCTTCAAAACAAGCATTTGAAAGTAACAAATGGCTACTTCCTAGGATGGACCCCTCAGGGTATCTCCTAAGATGACCCTTTATTACTGGTTGATCCCAAGAAGGGTAGGATGATCCCATGGGTAGTTGATCCCATGATGGGTAGGAAAGATATTTCATAATGCTAGTTTGAACTGTGGAGTATCTGGAGTGTCTGGCCAGCCCCCAAAACAGCTCTGATTTAGGACTTCAGTAAGCAGATTGGCTTGTTTAAGAAGGTGCCCTTAAAAAGAATCTGTCCACCTGGACAGTTCTCTGCATGGGTCCTTGTGGCATCAAACATTTATCAGTCTCGGTATTCATTATGCCTTGGCGTCTCTAGATTTGTCTGCACTGTGCCTTGGATACTCAAACCACCACCTATTTTCATATCTACACAGAAGAGAGGGACTGTCACACACCTTTTTGATATTTCAGTGTTTCTCAGCTCAATATTATGTGCAAACTGATGAATTGTTATGTGCTAAAGAGCCACCTTTTGGGGGACCACACTATAAGGGAAGAAAGCGGTAATTTTACCATGCTCTGGAAGAGTATTCTTGCAGCATCACACCTGCTACAAATGAGATGTTCATAGTGGTCTGTATTTTGTTTGAAATGTTTCTGGGGTGATGAACCCCTTCGTGGAAAAGTCTGAGAGCCAGTGGGTTTGAAGAAGAAGGTCAAAAACACTGGAGAAAGTTTCTGTGCTGCTTATTTTTCTAGAAAAACAAGGAGGCAAATTGAAAGAGAAAAGAAGAAACATCACTCCCTTGGCAAACAGCACACAACTAAAGTGGCGAACCCACTGTAGATGAGGAGGATCGACAAAGTGGAAGTCATTCATCTCTTTGAGACTATAGAGAGGGAGCCACAGGGAGCACAGACTGGAGAGTTCAGAGGTCAAAGGTGAAGAGAGGGCATGGTCCACAATGTAAGACCACAGCTGTGCTATGTTGACACCAGCCAGGAAAAGCTTAGAGGTTAGAGCTGGTTCTGTCTCACTCCATAGCCATGTTGCTAGAATGCCAACTAACATTGCCTTTTTGTGTGTGTGAAGACAGAGTCTCACTCTGTCACCCAGGCTGGAGTGCAGTGGTGCGATCTCAGTTTACTGCAACCTCTGTCTCCCGGGTTTGTGCCTCAGCCTCCTGAGTAGCTAGGATTACAGGCATGCACTACCGTAGCCAGCTAATTTTTTGTGTTTTTACAGAAACAGGGTTTCACCATGTTGGCCAGGCTGATCTTGAATTCCTGGCCTCAAATGATCTGTTGCCTCAGCCTCCGAAATTGCTGAGATTATAGGCATGAGCCACCGTGCCTGGCCTACATTGCCTTTCTTGAATAAGCCCTGGGAAAAACCCAACTTTCTTCTTTGTCAGTATTTGAATACTAGAAATGTGGGTCCTCCAGTTCTTTACACACATTCCCGGGGTTGGGGGGAGATTGTATTTCTAAATACAATAGAGTAAATACTACTAACAGCTAATACATATCTTGCTAATACAGAGTAAAGCAAGATATGTATTAGCTGTTAGTAGTATTTAATTCACAGAGTAAAATGCAAGATATGTATTAGCTGTTAGTAGTATTGCTGGTGATGATGGCGATGGAGTAGCACTCTTTCAAAACTTAGATCAGTGTAATTGAACATTTTTTTAGACTACATGAAAAGCTGTTTTCAAAAATGAGCATCAATACTAAACATCAATACTCTACTGAAAAGATTGGATACAGAAGTAACGTTTATATCATTTTGCCCATGTTAGGCAACAGGAGAGGACCAGGGTCTTGATACACTATTATTCTTTGAGTTTATAGTAAACATGGAGTTTTTAGACTGTTTCCTTTTAATTTCTCCCCAGAAATGTTGCTGGGTACATATTAGGACCTAATATGGATTAAGGGACCAGACTTCCTTGGCTAGCCCCAGCTCTACTGCTCAGTGCTTGTGTGTTCTAGAACCAGATGCTTACCTTCTCTGTGCCTCATTTTCTTCATCTGTGAAATGAGGATAATAATACTGTTTACCACAAGTGATAGTTACAAAGGATAATTGGGAATAATGCAGGTAAAATGCTTAGAAGACTGCCTGTCACAGAGTAAAATGCAAGATATGTATTAGCTGTTAGTAGTATTGCTGGTGATGATGGCGATGGAGTAGCACTCTTTCAAAACTTAGATCAGTGTAATTGAACATTTTTTGAGACTACATGAAAAGCTGTTTTCAAAAATGAGTGCAGGCAAGGCGTAGTGGCTCACACCTATAACTCCAACACTTTTGGAGGCTGAGGCAGGAGGATTGTTTGGGGTGAGGAGTTTGGGACTAGCCTGGGCAACACAGCAAGACTCTATCTCTAAAAAAAGATACAAAAACTAGCCAGGCGTGGTGTAGCATGTCTGTAGTGTGAGCTACTCAGGAGACTGAGGTAGGAGGATTATTTAGGCCCAGGAGTTCAAGGTTACAGTGAGCTATCACACCACTGCACTGCAGTCTGAGTGACACTGTTGAGAAAGACCCTATCTAAATAATTAATTAAATTTAAAACTGCCATTTGCAGCTATTTACCTATGTTGTATTTACCCATATTAAGCAATAAAAACAGGCTGGACATGGTAGCTCACACCTGTAATCCCAGGATGTTGGGAGGCTGAGGTGGGCTGATTGCTTGAGCTGAGGAGTTTGAGATCAGCCTTGGCAACATAGTAAAACACCATCTCTACAAAAATACAAAAGAGTTAGCTGGGCATGGTGGTGTGCATCTGTGGTCACAGCTGCTTGGGAGGCTGAGGCAGGAGGATTGCTTGAGCCATTGAGGTGGAGGGTACAGTGAGCTGAGATTGTGCCACTGTACTCCAGCATGGGAAACAGACCAAAACTCTGTCTCAAAAAAAAATTTAATTTAATTTTAAAAAAGTAAAACAAATTCAAAAGTTAATTGGATGATTAGATTAACATGAGATGCACAGTGTGACCCTGTTTTCATATGTTTCTGTTAATCAGAGCAGCCTCTTTATTCAGTGATTGGCTTTATAATAAGTAAATGTTATATATATATATATGTTTAATAAATATATATCAATAAAGTATGTTGGTAAAATGTAAGAGATTTCATTTGAAAACAGGCACAATGGGGGATAGGAATTTCAGAGCATAAAAGGAAGGAAAAGATTGATAGATTGACATACCTAAAATGTGTTTCATTCATCAAAATATTCCATGAACCAAATGTAAGGGTAAATGCCAAATGGGGATTAAACTGTAAAACAAATATAGAAACAAGAGTATGGTCTTAATACACACATAGGAAGGCAGACAATTCAGCAAAGAAGTACTCATGAAAGCACTCCAAACTGCACAGGAAATGTTTAAAATGTAAGCTAAAACAAGGAGATTGTACTATCCACCTGACAATTTGACAGAAATTAAAAATGAAAAATGACAAGCCCGGAGAGGCCTCAGGAGATGGATGCTCACATCTGTGGCTGATAAATGGGGAAGTTGGGACAGCCTTTTTGAAAAGCAGTCGATCATATCACTCAAACGTGTAACAACATTCATAGTTGTTGACACAGTAATCCCACTTCTCTGTATCCTAAGAAAATAAAGATACAGGCAAAAAATATTTTTATGGTCATTAAAAATGATTTTAAAAAAAACTCTTAGGTTCAGGGGTACATGCACAGGTTTGTTATACAGGTAAATTGCATGTCACAGTAGTTTACTGTACAGATTATTTCATCATCAAGGTAATAAGCGTAACACCCAAATAGGTAAGTTTTTGATCCTCACCCTCTACCTACCTCCACATTCCAGTAGGCCCTGGTGTCTTTCATTCCCTTTTTATATTCATGTGAACCCAATGTTTACACCCCTTTATAAGTGAGAGCATGCACTGTGGTTTTCTCTTCCTGTGTTAGTTTGCTGAGGATAAACAGCCTCCAGCTCCATCTATGTTGCTGCAAAGGATATGATCCCATTCCTTTTCATGCCTGCACAGTATTCCCTGGTGTAGATGTACCACATTTTCTTGATCTAGTCTACTGTGGATAGGCATTTAAACTGATTCCGTGTCTTTGTGATTGGGAATATTACTGTGATGAACATACATGTGCATGTGTCTTTACAGTAGAACAAAATATATTCCTTTGGATCTATATCAATAACAGGATGACTGAGTTGAATAGCAGCTCTGTTTTAAGATCTTTGAGTAATCGCCAAACTGCTTTCCCCAATGGCTGAGCTAATTTACATTCCCACCAGCAGCCTGTTCTGCAACCTCACTAGCATGTTATTTTTTGACTTTTTAATAACTGCCATTTTGACTGGTATGAGATGATATCTCATTGTGGTTTTGATTTGCATTTCTCTAATAATTAATGATATTGAGCAAAAACGGATGTTTTAGGAAAATTTTAAGTAACATAAAAAAACTCTGTTAGCTGAACAAGCAGAATATAAAATATGCATACAGTACATACAGTATGAGCAGCCCAGATGGAGAAAACACAAAGTGAAGATACCCTAATATATAAATGGCTGCTATTTTGGGGTGGTAGAGCAATGAAATGACCATTATTTCCTTTATAATTTTCCTGTACTCAACACAATTGTTTTTACCAGAATTTAAAGTGATTTTTTTTAAAGTTTATAAGTTGTTATAAACAATAAGCAACTGTAGGCATAAAAATCCAATTTCCAGTTTTATTGTAAATAAATAAATATTATAAATATTGTAAATGTGTATGAGCTACAAGGAACTAGGTTTTGAGAAACAACTCAAGGTCTTTCCTGTGAATAAAGTTGATGGGTTTAAGTGTGTGTAATTTTTGGTATTTAATTGCTCAGAATTCTGTTGCTGATTTTCTGACTTCCAGTCATACTGTGGACAACTGAGTTTAATAGTAACATAGAGTACTAGCTAGTTAAGGTTTTATTCATGGATTAAAAACAATAGAATAAAATGAAAAGCTTTATAGAGACAACCAGGCCTCTTTCCCTCTCAGGGCCTGCCCTTGAAAGTGGTGGAGAGACAAAGTCCCGGAGGAGAACGTGCCTGCCCGCACCCTGCCCGGGCAGCAGTAACATCAGCCTGTGGAACATCCTGAGGAACAACATTGGGAAGGACCTGTCCAAGGTGGCCATGCCCGTGGAGCTGAATGAGCCCCTTAACACGCTGCAGAGGCTCTGTGAGGAGCTGGAGTACAGCGAGCTCCTCGACAAGGCTGCGCAGATTCCCAGCGCCCTGGAAAGGATGGTGAGGACTCAGCCTTCCTGTGTCACTGTCCAGCCTCTGTCCCTGAGCCACGAGGCCAGTCACGGGGCCCATCAGAGAGACAGCCCTGTTCCCTCTGGTTTCATTTTGATTGCTCCATAGATAGGTTCATCCCTCAGAGCTGCCTGGCTTCCTCCGCCTGCCTGTTTCCAGTCACTTTGTTAGGATTTGGAGGCAGGGTTGGGGGCTTCTGTGGTACTCGGTGCCTGGGGTGGTTCTCTTCAGTGGGTTTGTGCTTCCTCTTTCTCCAGAAGCCTTCTGTCTGATTGTTCTGATGTGCCTGGCTGGAAAGCATGTCTTTAGGGCTGTCTGCGTGTTTATTTTTACTACCCTGGCAGGACAGAATTTAATTTCTCAAGCTGTTTTTCTCATCCAGGGTAAATTTCCCCTGAGAATGTTTTTGTTTGTTTCTGGAATTGTCCTATCAACTCCTAGGTTTTTGGAAAATAGAGTTCACAAGAAGAGGTTTTCACTTCAGAAATAGTCTCTTTTTCTCTCTCCCTCTTACTTTATAGAGTACTTAAAAAAATCTTAGAAAAACCCTCCTTCTCTTCTCTACTTGGCATCAACTCCAGTCACAGTGTGCTGTCTTTTAAAAGGGCTTCCAAGTATTTCTCATCTTTCCCGTCTCGTGGCTAGGGAGATTAGGAGGGGGCTACTCAAAGGGCAACACTCTGGGCCCTCTCTATGACTGTGACTGACTTTGTTTCTGAACTTGGGGTATCTGTACCTCTTTTTGCTTCCTCATATTCAGTGACCTTAGAGGAGTAAGGTCATGGTCTCTGGGATGCTGGGACATTAGTGTCCCCCAAATGCAGAGTCTCTCTCCTGGAGATGTAGCCAGTTGGCTACATTGGAATTGGAATGCCCCCTCGGCTTCACAGACCTAGCCATGCTAATACCCCCCATTGATAGAGGATGCTATTTTTTTCTACATTTTAAGCATTCTGTAATTTTAGTGCTCATTAAAACATCATTACTTCCATGATCTTAAAATTAAGGGGAAATCTTAACTGTTGGCTGAGAGGGATATCCCATCGTCATTCTGCCCAGTCTCCAGGCTCTCCCCTATCAAAGAGACTTTCTCTTTTTTTGAGTAAGGGTCTTTGTCGCCCAAGAGGGAGTACAGTGGTGCAGTCCTACCCCACTGCAACCTCAGACTCCTAGGCTCAAGTAACCCTCCTGCCCTGGCCTTCCAAAGTGCTGAGATTACAGGCATGAGTCATTGTACCTGGCCCAAGAGACTTTCTTTCTTGTTATCGATAATCAGGGTAGGAGACAAAAACAAGCTGTATTCTTTAAACTCTTCTTTGTTACTTTTCCCTAGATAATTTTTACTGAATAAAAGAAAGGCAAAGCTTCTAGAAATAGCTTTTAAGGCAAGTGTTGGCAGAGCACGGTGGCTCATGCCTGTAATCCCAGCACTTTGGGAGGCCAAGACAGGTGGATCACGAGATCAAGAGATCGAGACCATCCTGGCCAACATGGTGAAACCCTGGATCTACTAAAAATACAAAAATTAGCTGGGCGTGGTGGCGTGTGCCTGTAGTCCCAGCTACTCAGAAGTCTGAGGCAGGAGAATCACTTGAACCTGGGAGATGGGGTTTGCAGTGAGCCAAGATTGCGCCACTGCACACCAGCCTGGCGACAGATCAAGACTCTGTCTCAAAAAAGAAAAATATAGCTTCTAAGGCAAGTGTTATAAAAGTCAGCTTTTGTGGATAGTTCTTTTCTTTAAAGGAAATGATTGGCTTTGAGGATGAAAGTTTCTTAAAGATGTTTCTTGCTGTGGCAATTTAGAGACCCTTAGAATATTCAGCTGATTGATTGTGGTAACTGACCTTGAGCAGAGGTTTGAGGAGAGGCTTCTCATCCCCAGCATAACCACTAAGCCGGAGTCTTATCATGGGTTTTGTTTACTGTCCTGTAGGTCTGCTTATGCCCCTGCCTAGACTTTCCCTCATGCCACCAACTCACAGGGAAAGTGCTTCCTTCTGCCTCTCCCTTGCTCTGTCTTCCCCACAGTATCATGAATGGCACTAGGTTCTTTCATTGGTTGTGTTATATTTTACATGGTTAAGGTGATTCAGGGTTGATTCAGTGTTCCATACACAGTGTGGCTGTACTGTTTCACAGGTCACCAACGTGGGGAAGCAGGGAGAGGAACAGACATGCAGGTTTCAAGAACATAGTCAGTCACAAGTAGGACTAACTTGAGTGTAGTTGATTTCTTCTTCTTCATTTTTTTTTGAGACAGGGTCTTGCTCTGTCTGTCACCCAGGCTGGAGTATAGTGGTGCAATCACAGCTCACTGCAGCCTCGACCTCTTGGGCTCAGTCAGTTCTCTCACTTCCCACTTCCAAAGTAGTTGTGACCACAAGAGTGTGCTACCACACCCAGCTATGTTTTTGTATTTTTTTGTAGAGAAGAAGTTTTGCCACGTTGCCCTGGCTGGTGTTGAACTCCTGGGCTCAAGCAATCCACCTGCCTTGGTCTCCCAAAGTGCTGGAATTACAGGTGTGAGCCCCTGCACCCAGCCAAGTATGGCTGATTTTTATAAGCCATTCAGCTTCTCGTGAGAATTCTATAGCGTGAGGTAGTTGATGTGGGCCCTGTTACAGGCAACACCAAAAATTTAGCAGAAGGTTAAAAAGGAAGGTTACGTGATTAGTGAGCATTTATGAAAGGCACTCAGCTTGTCCTCAGTATAAAAAACTGCATAAAATGTGCTGGGAAGAAATCTTGAGATTGTTACTACCCGAGATTAGAAAGGAAAATTTGCCATCACTGCTTAGGCTTAACTGTTTTCACATACATGGAAAAAAAGACAAAGAAGGTAATGTGCCTCTTTGGTGCCCTGACGGTGAGCTGCTAAAGAGCCAAGACCTCACGGGGAGGCCCCCAGAGAGTTTGCTCACTTTGTGTTCATATAAAGTGTTTATTCCTTCCTCTATTTTTATTGGTATTTTTTAATGGTTCATTTTTCTTCCCAGAAAAGCAGAACTTTAAAGTCACTGTATCCTGTGGCAGGTTTCCCAGGCTTAGGAAATGACTCACAGATTTTCTGTGGTCAAAATGAATGTTTTGGTTTCTATAATACGACATTTTGAATGGTTAAATTTATGATGCTTATTCCTGAGTTTTGGAGGGATTTTTTAGTATTCCTTTTTTAATAGTCTTTTCCCACTCCACCCTTAAAGCCTTAGCACCGTATCAGGATCCTCAGATAATGTAAGGCTTAAAAGTACTGGACTCAGCTTAACAGTTCCAAAAACGGTGTATTCCATTTTGGAAATGTCACCATCTTGATAGCATCTCCCAACTTTTAGGCATTAAGATAAATGGACAGCTTTAAAACATTGGGTTAATTTGTTTTGTGGACCAAACAAACATTATTTACACCTATAATTTTAAACCTATTTTTAAATAAGCAAAGACAAATCTTTGGCTCTCTAAAAGAAAATCATAGAGGTTTTATTTTGTTTGGTTCTTTGTGGACAATAAAGCTCTTGGTGACACAGAAATGACAAAGTTCTTTCCTTCTTGTACTTAGGTGTATGTGGCAGCCTTTGCCATATCAGCGTATGCGTCTAGCTACTACCGAGCTGGGAGCAAGCCATTTAATCCGGTTCTGGGAGAAACGTACGAATGTATTCGGGAGGACAAGGGCTTCCAGTTCTTTTCAGAACAGGTAGACACACACCTTTTTTTTGTTTGTTGGGAGGGGTTGCTTATGTCTCCTATTAAATGTACTGCTGAAATATTTATTTTCCACCTTTTACTGGCTTCAAAGCAACCGAGATAATTACAGTGCTTTTAAACAAGAAGGGAAGGATCAATTTTCCCTCCCACGGAAGCCAAGCCACCACCTAGGGGCTTAAAGGTACCAGTAATTCTGCACACTTGCTTGGCCACATGCATTGCCAGTATCCTTTCTCTTTAAAATCGTTAGCAAAAGGAATTTTGAAGAGACAAACATTGGCCCAAACTTCAATTTAGAGATTTAACATGTGCTCCCTAACACACTGACATCATCACTCCAGAGCAGAATGCCCCCAGCAGAATGGATAGCACTAGATAAATGTGTTATTCTCAACTTTGATTTGAGAGAATCATTCATTCATGTATTTATTCATTCACATCAATCTAGAATGTATACCATGTGCCTGCTGCTGTTCCAGGTGCTAGGATACTGCAGTACGGTGCAGGTGAGGGGTCCAGACAGGTTCCCTGCCCTCATGTAATGGATGTGCAGCCCTGTACTCATGCAGCCTAAGGCTCCATCAGACTCTTGCCATGGAAGTAGCGTAGAGGCATATTCAGGCATCAGACAGCCTAGGTTCCATCCTATCTCAGTTCCACCTCTTACTCGCTTTATAACCTAGGACAAATTACAGAGCTTCTCTGTGCTTTTGTTTCCTCTTGAGAGTGGAGATGATGACAGTTGTATGTACCTCATATGGTTTCGTGATGATTCAGTGAGACACTGTCTGCAAAGCACTTGGAGCAGCATCTGAGACATGAAGAGACAGGTTATATGAGCATTTGCTGTCATTACTGCTGCATGCCAGCACAGCTTGTAATGGTGGGGTGTTGGGAACATCTGAAATACTTGTCAATAGGGAATTATTTACTTAAAATAGAATGTATACATATTGAAACTTAAAAAAAAAAACCTTCTCTTACTAAGATAGGCAGAAAGAAATTTTATTAAAATTATAACAAATTTAAAAAATAAAATAAATCCTTCTCCCACCTCGTTAAGGTAGCAATCAAACATATTCACTCTCTGTATATCCTTAAATGTCAGCCTAGGGACATTAAACATCATTGCTTCTACACGCTTCTCACCCCCCCAGTTCTTAGAGAACTGAGGAGAAAGGGGGGTGGATTGTTAAAATATTCCTTTATCTTGCTGCTCTCTTTATCAATGGATTTGCACTACGGGGAAAGGAAGGGAAGCGTGGGTTGGCTGAGAAACTTATGATGAGAGTGCTTATCTTCACTGTAAATGATAAGCAGTGTTCTCTGGAACCCAAAGGAAATTGAATGTACAGTAACCCAAAGTACACTGTCAGTAGCTTGCCAGTTACAAGTTAAAACAAGAAATTAAACACGGGTTGCTGCTGGGGAGGTAGGGGGTTAAATCAGTAGTTAAAGAGGATACCATAATCTGTCTGATTCAAAATTCATCTGGGTTATTTAAATACTGAACCTAAAATAGAGTGAGAATAAATGAAAATATAATTTGGTTTCCATGGTATCATATGCACTCTCGTGAAAAAATAAAGGCCAAAAATAGCCCCAAACTACAGCAGACAATTGGGACAGGATGAATAGCTTGTAAGAAAAGAATAGTAACGTGAGCTGTGTAAAGTTGAGCTTCAGTCCTCTGAGCCCTGATGGGACAGGGCCAAATTCAAGGTCTGGTCGTGTATTTCCCATGGTGGCTCAAGGGGAGAAATCAGAGCTCCTGGGCACATATGCACAAAGACAGAAAGAGGGTTACATAACTTAGCATTTAGTTCCATGAAATAAGCAAGAAAGAGAACTGGTTATTGTTAGTAGTTTAGGGCGCGCTGGGTGTAGGATGTGCAGACCTGCCTGCTTCCAGTCTTGACTCCACAATTTGCTCCATGTGTGACCTTATTTAACCTCCTTCAACTTTCTGAGCCTCCCTTGCTTTTTTTTTTAATCTGTAAATTAGGACTGATAATTCCTGACTAGTAAGTTGTAGTAAGGCTTAAACAAAATAACATATTGATGGAAATATTCAGCAAATGGCTATTGTTCTTATTATTTAGCGGGAACTTCTACAGTGGCTTTTTGTTTGTTTTTCTGAGACAGAGTCTCACTCTGTCACCCAGGCTGGAGTGCAGTGGCATGATCTTGGCTTACTGTAATCTCTGCCTCCCAGATTCAAGTGATCCTCCCGCCTCAGCCTCCTGAGGAGCTGGGACTACAGACTTGTACCACCATACCCAGTAAGTTTTGTATTTTTAATAGAGGTGGATGGGGTTTTACCACGTTGGCCGGACTGGTCTCAAACTCCTGACCTCAGGTGATCCCCCGACCTTGGCCTCCCAAAGTGCTGGGATTACAGGATTGAGCTACCATGCCTGGCCTACAAAGCCTTTTCATATACAGTGTTAAGAATAGTAAGAGTTTGGGAGGCCAAGGTGGGTGAGTCACTTGAGGTCAAGAGTTCAAGACAAGCCTGAGCAACATGATAAAACCCCGTCTCTACTAAGAATAGAAAAAGATAGCCAGGTGTGGTGTTGTGTGCCTGTAATCCCAGTGCTTATATACTCAGGAGGCTGAGGCAGGAGAATCACTTGAACCCAGGAGGCAGAGGTTGCAGTGAGCTGAGATCTCACCACTGCGCTCCAGGCAGGGCAACAGAGCGAGACTCTGTTTCAAAAAAGAAGAAAAAGAATAGTAAGAGGAGTGTTGACAAGGCAGAGAGGAGCCTCAGGAATGACTTTGATGAGAGAAAACTGGAAAGGCATGTATCCATTATAATATATACTTTCTTATGTTCAAATAAGGTATGCTATATCTCCTCTTCCAGAACAAGTGGTTTGAGGGGGACTTGAGGTTGCCGGTGAGTCTCTGACAGAAAGTAACTATCAGGCAGCCAGGAGTTCTCACACCTGGCTTCACCGTGGTCACACCACCAGTCCTGTCTGTAATTTAGCCTGATGGCCACAGATAGTTGATTATTTTAATATACCTATTACATAAGAATGGATGAGTCTCTCAGGGATAGATTCACAATGCCTAAGCTTACAAGAGACTGATGTATAAACTAAAATGCTACTATATGCATTGACTGTGAAAAATAGATGTACTATGGGGATCAGAAAGCATTGTCCAGTGTGACTAGGTATGATTTTCTCATAGGCAGATTACCCGGAAGCCAAATGAGAATCCTGAGTGAGTGTACAGTGTGAAGATGCAGCTGTGTGATTCAGTATGCCAAGCAGCCCTCTGCCCTAGGAGTGGGAGGGGTGTCAGGCCAGGGCCTTACTTTCCCTGGCCAACAGGAGTCTATCAGTACAGTGTCCCTCTTTTGCCTCTCCCGACCTTATCTATTCTAATTTAACACATCTGAAGAGAGTGCCAGAGCATATTTTCTGTTTCCTGCTGGTAGCTGGTATGGCTCTTTCTGCTTCCAGCCCAGGAGACTGTCTACCTTGATGGAGACAGCATGACTTTGCCCTTGTCCGTTTCGTGTCATTGATATACTTAAGCTCTCATGGCTTAGAGGTTTGTTTTCTGTGCCTCTCTACAGTGAGTACAGGTTTCTGAATGACTAATATAATTTCTATCAACATCCTCCTTACAAAAAAAATTCCACCCAAAAATATTATTTCGGGGCCTTGCTCAGTTTATTGTATCTCTAAGCTTAAGGACCTGGCAACAAACAACTTGGCTTCTCTTGTGAGTTTTCTAGACAACAGTCTGATTTGGAAAGCAATGGCTGTCTGTGTCCGCCAAGCCCCTTGATTTTGTTGCCTTGTGGATTTGCTGGGTGTGTGATGTTCGAGGTAGTGAGTGGCCAGGCAAGTGGAAGTCCTTGCTGCTTGAGAGCGCGACTCCCTTGAAGCTTGTCTGTCTGTATTCTTTCTTGTCTAAAAATCCCCAAACCACAACATCGAAATGACTAATGTGGTCAGAAACCAGAGAAAGCATTTCTCATTAAAAATGTTTCCTGTAACAAGGTTTGTGGAGTGCTCTGTGCATTCATGATCTTGCTTGATCAGCAGAACAAGCTCTCTGTGGAACGTGAGGCAGGGATCAGTTCCAGGTGAGGAAACGGAGGCCTAGAGGAGCCGAGCTTCCCAGTGTCCCTCAGCAAATGCTAGAACCCAGCCCCTCTGTCTCCTTCCCTGCGTCCTTTTTCCCTCACCCTTTGTAGGGTCTCTTGTATGGATTCAGAGCTACTGGAGTCTGCGGTGGACGTGAAAGCAGCCCTTTGTGTATGCTGTTCATTTTCGCCATGCAAAATCTCTCCAGACTCACAGAGGACTTTGTTCTCAGCTCCCGTGGTAGGCTGGGGTGTGGCCTTTGGAAAGAAGAACTATCAGGAGTGAATCATAGACATTCCTTACCTGGGTTCTCACCCTCTGGCTACTCCACCTTCTCAGAGGTTTCCTTTGTGTGGAAAAATCTCATTCAGCCTTGGCTTTCTATATAAACCCACAAAAGGAGAAATTCAGAGAAAGGACCTCCCTTCTTTCCTGACTGGTCAGAGACTGAGTATCCTCTGGCAGGTGATTCCCTACTTGCTGCGCCCTCCTTCTGACTGGCAGAGCTAACACACTGGTTTTGAGCTGAATCAAGGGAATAGATGGATCAGAAAACTCATTTCGGTTGGCTACGTTCCTTTTTTCATACCTTTGGGAAAGGTTTGGTGTTGAAAGGATATGCAATTAAGCGATAGTCTAAAAGTAGCTTTTCCTAATTACATGAAACTTTAGTTGTCCCAATCATTGTTCAAGTTATTTTAACCATTTACCCGCCCCTCTGCATACTCTTGAGAGTGTCAGAAAAGCTGAGTGTCATTATTAAAAGTTACTAAAATGTTCTTACATTTTAGTAACTGAGATTGAAATGAAGACATTTTCCTTTTCTCTGTAGGCTCAGCCCTTCCTCCTTTCTGTTTCTTACTGGAGGACTCTGAGTACA